GGAGCCACTTGGCTCATCTTTTGACAAACAACCACTCTGTGGGTTCTTCAACCCAATTTTCACTAGAGTTGGGGACAACCGCGATCTCTGATACAATTGTCTCAGTGTCATAGMGTTCAAACCAACCCACAGATCCACCGCAACATTGAATCAGTACAACCATTGCTCAATTACCTGTTCCATATCCACCCTCCTCCAACATTTCTTGTTTGTATGACAATTGGCCAAGGGGTTCATGAAAAATTTGATGATATGTGGTCCAGTACCAGATTTTAGTACTATTTTGGCCATTTTGGCACCAAAACCAACCCACAGATCCACCGCAACATTGAATTAGTACAACCAATTCTCATTTAGCTGTTCCATATCCACCCTCCGCCAACATCTCCAGTTTGTATGACCATTGGCCAAKTGGTTTGTGAAAAATTTGATGACATGTGGTCCAAGTACAAGAATTTGTACTATTTGTGCCATTTTGGCACCAAAACCAACTCACAGATCCATTGAAACACTGAATGAGTACAACCAATGCTCAATTACCTGTTCCTTATCCAATCCCCCCCAATCATGTCAAGTTTGTACGACAATTGGCCTATTGGTTGGTGAAAAATACCTTGATATGTGATTGCAGTACAAGATTTAGTACTATTTGGCCCATTATTGCACCAAAACCAACCCACAGATCCACCGCAACATTGAATTAGTACAACCAATKCTCAATTACCTGTTCCATATCCACCAACCTCAAACATTTCCAGTTTGTATGACAATTGGCCAAGGGGTTCTTGAAAAATTTGATGACATGTGGTCCAACTACCAGATTTAGTACTTTTTTGGCCATTTTGGTGACTACAATAGACCGATCGATAGGACATGAGGTGATGTCCTCATGTTACCTATAGAACCCAACCACACAATTTTCAACCCCTACCAAACACCAATCAATAGTATGTGAAGTGATGTACTCACGTTGAGATGTACCTAAATTCTGTAGAACCAAATCCTAGATTTTCAACCMCTACCAAAAGACTGACMAATTCTGTAGAATCCAACCAMACAATTTTCAACCCAAACCATCCAAGAAAGAACAACTACTGTAGATCTTAATTTGTTCMATTACAAAGAATTTAGCTACTATTAGTAAACTACTAAATATACTGCATGTAGTTGTACCTGCTGCAGTGAAAGAAGTGGKACTAGTAGTAGTAGGGATAACAAAAATAATTTGTTTACTGATTWCCTAGTAGGAAAATTCTGTACCACMACTGCTACTGTCAAAACGAAGGTTTAACTACTTACCACAAAATATGTATTAAAAAATTGGCGCGGCACTGCAGGCTTGCTGTAGGACAGTGTAAGAAGAGAGCATGGCAGGTGGATTGGTGATGCTGGTGGTAAACCCACCACCAATCAAAGCTCTCAGAAAAACAACGGATGATCAGAAATCACATTAAAAGCACTCATTTGGAAAAACAAAGCTTTGGTAAACATGAACACCAGTAAAAGTCAACAACCAAGAACCGAGGGTAAAAAACCAGGTCGATGATACAGAAAAAAAGAGTATTGGATGTAGAAACAAAACAGGTAAATAACCATAAGAGGTC